CGAGTAATGCAGTCCTGAGAACGATAGAGTGGCGAGTGGCGAGAGGCGAGTAGCGAATGGCGAGTGGCGAGTAGCGAGTAGCGAGCGGCGTGAGGAGGGTGGGAAGGGTCGGGAGGTGAAGCGATGCTAGATTATACCACGTCCATCCGCGGCAGACAAAGGTCCTTCACGGGGATGCTCGGCCGGACGGCCCTCGAGAGCCTCAACCTCTTGTTTTTCACCATTTCGACGCCGTCCACCATTTTTACTCGGTCGCGTTTTTTTGCGGCAGCCGGGGGTGGATGGTCGGTGGTCGGCTACTCGTTCCTTTACGGGCGATTTAACGGGCATCGACGGCGATGGCAGTGGCGGCGGAGCAGACGCGCATCGATTGTCGTCGTCCCTGCCATCTGGCCGCATGTGGCCACATTTAATACGCGCGTATAATAAGACTCGGCGGCGGCGGCACCCCGATCTAATGGAGATATAAGCCGTGACCGATGCCCTTAAATTATCTTGGATTTTGGGCTCGCCTCAGGCGGTGCATAACCAGGACAATGGCCGAGTCGGCGGCGCGTGCAGATTCACCAGCTTAATTGCCTGCGGCGTCGTTCGCGCGCGTGCGAAACTTTCGGAAAAACGTCCGTCTTGTTTCATTTTTTCATGTCGTGGGCGACGACGTGTTCGCAGCGCACCTCGAGAATTTCATAATTTAGGACTTTCTAAGAACGTTACCCCAAGCGCGCCCGACTACGAGCGCGCCTCCTCCGGGGCGAACTTTTTATCGGTTTTCTTCGACTACGGCTTGTATAGGCAGTAAACACGCGATAGGGAAATACGAAAATTTATAAACTCTTTCAATCAGAACTTTTTATTTTCTTGGGACGCCTCGCGCCCCAAAAAAATTTGAAATTCGATATACGATTGGATGGACTTAGGGAAAGTTCGACGCGATTTTACGTATGGGCGGGCGGTCGAGCAGCGGGACCCCGAATAGCTTCGACGCTAGCGATAAACGTCCTTCTCTACAGCAGCGATTTGGTCTTTGCTAACCTTATTGTCTTTTATTAAAATATTGCAATAATCGTCGTTATCGTCGTCGTGGTCCGCGTCGTCGTCGTCGTCATCGTCGTTGGCGGCGAGAGAGCCAATAGAAGCGATGCATCGTACAAACACGCACGCGCACGCGCACGCGCGCACAATGAGACAATAGATTGTTGCTAAAGTCGGTAATTGTTGCGTGTAATTAATATAATGGATGAAGTACGATGAAGGCGCACAAGAAAAGGTGCGCGCGAACTATCGAGTCACGGGACTAGTGTATAGTGCGCGACTCGATGTTATTTACCGATGCAATTAATTAATCAACGCGAAGCACATTGGAAAATTTTGCCAATAAAATTGCAAAGTCAGCGAGCCAGAAGAGGACGTAATGACTCATCGCATGCGTTCTGTCCGAGATGCGTTTAATCGTTGCGCGTGGGGCGCACTATGAAATTGCTAATCGAAAGCCACTGGAGCATTTGAAAATCTCCCCACACTTGGTAATCCGTTTCACGGCGCGATGCTTAAAACGAAAAGAGAAAAGACGAGAGAGAGAGAGAGAGAGAGAGAGAGAGAGAGAGAGAGAGAGAGAGAGAGGGAGTTACTAGCATTACGCTCGCTTGTATTTGTGCGTGTGAGCATTAGACGACACATTGACCCGAGCAAATGTTTATAACATGTTTCAACCCCCTCCAGCAATAAACAGCAATTCGTTACGGAGAAATCGTCCGAATTGCATTTTAGCTCTCAATATTAAAATGTTCAAATCAAATTTCGCGTCAAACCCCGACACCCCCCACAGCTTCGAGGGTTAAATTAGAGTTGGTAGTTCGTCGCGAGAAACACCCCCCGCACTCTATATAACGCTCGCCGTCTGCATGGGGGACGTCGGCTCGGCCTCTTCCAATCGTTTATAAAAAAAAAGTCAGTTACATTTTTTTTATTAGAAAATTTAGCATCGTCGGTAAATAACAAGCCTTTTAATTTAAATTGAGCCCTGCCAAAATTTATATTCATCTTTCAATCATTAATCCCTTTCATCCAATAATTTTTTAAAAACATCCTTATTCTCCTACAAAATAGTCCATTACGTAATTTCGTCTGGCTTTAAAGTTCCTTCAATATTGATTGCATCCCGTAAGGACGCTACAAATTCACAGAGAAGAATAAAAATTTAAAACTGTCTTTTATAACATGTTGAAATACGGTTGTGAATAAAATGCTGCATCTCTCTTGGAAAAAGGAGAGTCTGCTTTTTTTCTCGAGCGCGAGGACCGAACATAACCTATCTAGGGAAAAAGAATCCACCTTTTTCCTCACTGGAGAAGAAATAGCGTTTTAATCAGAATTCTAAAATAGTCTTCTTCCCTTTTAAATAGATATGATATGCCTTCAGCAAGATCTTCTATTTTATTTTTCATCTTGTTAAATGATTTCATAATTAAAACTCAACGTAAATTACATTTTCACATTACTATTTATCAAATTAAAAGGAATGCTTTCGAAATTATAACAATTATTTTTCGAAGCGCCGGAGAAGCGTTAAGTAGGGAAATTCATTTTCGTCCTATGAATCACGATTTACAAATGCTTTACATTTACTTTTAATTTTCATAGCAATTGAAGACTATCGTTTCCCGCACCCTCCTATTCTTTTATTCTTTTCTTTTCTTTTTAACATTAATCATAAGCAATGCATAAAAAATATAATTTATTGCGCAATTTGAAGACGTACTGATCAAAGGCACTTAGTTTCCCCAAGTATTTTAATCCGCAAATGTCGCGAAAAACAGCGGCCGACATTCGGAATAATTTATGTTATTGCTCAGCGCCTTGCACTCGCAGTACCGTCGTCCTATCCTCCACCCCCACCCCCACCCACCACCCGCCAACCCAAACCGACCAACCAACCAGCCAACCAACGTCTTCAGAAGAAATAGAAATAAATTAAAGAATACTGTATTTACAAGCAGATTATAAATTTTCATAAGTGTCATGTTTCACGAGATATGAATTACCAAATGCGAGTCAATTTACATGCTGAACGTCTTCATCCTTCGCGCGGGGCGCACGTTTAAAAAAAAAAAAAAAAGGCCAAATTCAAATTCAACTCCCGTCATACGATGTGAATTCCATGCTCGGCCGAGCTCTTGGGATACATCCCGCTAATTTGATCCGGGATCCTCCCTAATAAGACTCGGAAGCTCCGCGAGGGCGGGGCGGGGATCGAAAAATCTCGCGCCCGTCTCTGGATACACACGGCTATGCGTGGGGCGCCCTTATGTATCTTTGAGATTTGGATTTAAGTCGCCGGGATCAGTGGCGTTTGGGGGCGGATCTGCCGTGCGCGGCGCGTGACTCCGCATTAATTCCCAGCCTCCGCGGTAATTTGGCGAGCGGTTATCGCGCGCGAATTTCGGCCCTCGGTAAACATGGCGGACGTGTTGTTTGCACTGGCGGCCGTCTCGCGAAGGTCTCCGAGCGCAAACAACGGAAGGATCGAGGCGTGTATTCTTGGACTGGGGCCGGAAGCGATAGGATCGAAATGTTCGTTGGGCGTGGAAGGGGGTGAGGAGGGGGTGGCGGTGGCGATGGCGGTGACGGCGGCGGTGAGAGGGGAGATGGGACTTGGAAGCTTCGGTTATAATTATTGATGCCCGGTAATGCAAAGGATTTTGCCGATAGGCAATTTATTTAACATGCTTGAGATTCGCGAGCTCGTAAATTTTGCGATTTTAGGCAAGCGTATTGACATTCTATATTACATTTGGCGATAACCGATTCCCGAGGACATGAATATTAAATTCGCAGCCTTCCTGTTTCTTTTTCAATTGGAAATATGTCGTGCGTTAGAGGCGGATACGCCCGCTTCCTAAGGTTAGAAGTCCACGGGCGATTAGAGTCGTGAGTCTTAAATTTTTGATTCTTTGAATTTTTAATTTCAATCTCGAGATTTCCCCAGCATCGTGATTCATTCTGCTGAGCGGCTGGCTGGGCTTTCAGCTTACTTTTACCGTCTTAGAACACGGAATCAGCAATTTTTTTTATTTTTTTTTCTTCCTCTATATACAAATTGAAGAAGAAATTTTGTTGTCACATTATTAATTTCGACGTGCTCGGACCACACGGAAAGCTCGGGCAAATTAAACGTGACTTTGCTACATTTCACTGCTCGACTTTTTCGGCCCAAGTGTTCTCGCAAAATTAGCGCTGCCTTTAACGCCAGGACGCAATAAAAATTATTGCCTTGGCCGCAATAAATAAAAAGAAATTTTTCATCCTTCAGAAGGTTAATTCGATCGTTAATATTGACAACTTCATCGTCGGTAATTGCTCTTATTACTTCGAGCAATGAATAACGATGATGGGTTTTATTCTGCCTTATAATTTATAACTAACCACCATGATTAACGAAGAACGACTTATTTGCAAAAAGAGTGCGTGGTAAAGAGCACACGTTTATTCGAGCGATTGTATCCTTAAAAAGGGAAAAATTAAAAAAAAAAAAAAAAGGGAAGCACGAAAACAATGAGAGATAAAGCTGCTTATTTATTTATAACCGCAAATAGTGGCTGAGTATCCTTATAATCGACGCAGCAGCTATTTTGAAATAAAACAAAGATGCACTTTTATCAACTGGAAGAAAGGCAAATGGTAACAGCGGACTCTCAAATGCTATAAATTGTCGCTCGGAGCTTATATTTGAAAATGAGAGAGGCGGATCGATCGGCGCGCAAAGGAATATTCAAGCGGAGATTTAAAGCTCCTAAAAAGATGCTCATCCACGGGTTATAACGGGTATATAACCATCTAAAAGAGACAGGGTGCAGAGGGTGGTTGGTGGTTGGTGGTTGGTGGTTGATGGTCGGTTGGTGGGTGGAGGTGGTGGTGGGGGAGGGGGAGGGGGGTGTAGTATCGATCACACGGTGGGGTTAAAATAGGCAGTCTTACGAGAAGGTTAACAGACGTGTCTTCACCTGATATCGGTCGATGCAGTCGCATTTGCCGAGGTAGCAGGAGCCCCTACCCGAGCAGTCGTTGGGACAGGTGGTGGATACGCCCTCGGCTTCGGTGACGACGAGCGTGACCTTGTGCGGCTGGAGCTCGTCGTTGTAGACCGAGAGGAACCAGCGCCCGGTATCTAGGTACTGGAGTAGGCTCACGTTAACTCCAGGCGGCACGTCGAGGCTCGAGCGCTTTGTCAACAGATGTTGAATCACCGAGGACACCGATTCTTCCCCGTCCTCGCGCTCCTCCTCGTCGTCCTCCTCCTCAACCTCGTCCTCGACATGGACCGGTATCAGTGGCTGGCGTTTCGGTGACATCGACCGTCCGGACGCGTTCTGAGTAAAACTCACTGCGACATCGGTGTTGGCGAAGATCTCGCGCTTCAGCCGATGGTCCAAGCGTCCGGCCTTCACAAATTCCACAAAGTCGTACTGGGTGACGCTCGGGGCGACGTTCCGACGCCCATAGACCGCGAAATTCGCGTTCCAGGGCAGTGTGAGATTGAGCCTGATGAAGGCCGGCTGCTTGTTGGTGAACTCGGTGTTCCAGAAGTGATAGGCCGGTATCACGGCCGAGTGCGCCACGTTGTACGAATGGAGTTCGAGGACGGCAGGCCATTGCTGGGCAGATTGCTGGATCTGGGGGTCGCTCTGCTGCTGGTCCGCCGAGTCCGCCGCGCTCGAATGCTCCGCTGTGCTCGTCGGTAGGCTCTCTGAAATATCCGAACACTGTATTCCCGTCCTCCTCGCATGCACTTTTAAATCGAGATGTCTCAAGGTACTCCACAGGATAACATTAGTACTATCCAACTCGTATATCTATGAGTGCGTATATATTTAATATCTCGCGTGAATTTTGTATAAAGTATTTGTTTTACAGTGCGATGCATTTTTCAAGATGAATTATACGGTCGTATGAATAATGGTTATTAATTCTTATTTCATTTGCTTTACTCATTATGTTATAATTGCCCTTTCTTTTGCGATATTTTCGATGATCAACTGCTTCTATTTTTGTGCGGACTTGGTCGTAAAATCTGTCACTATTACACCTCTTGGTTAACATTTTATACAGTGAGAGAGAGAGAGAGAGAGAGAGAGAGAGAGAGAGAGAGAAATGCACTACTACGTCCGTTTATTCGTGTCCTTTCTACATTTCTTTGTGACTCTGCATAAACGTTACAAAGAGATAAATTTCATCTACATTTACAATGATATTTTAATGAAATCGAGCACTTTTTTTTCTTTTATTTTTTTTTCTGCATTTTCGTACCCTTTAATGATAATCTCGAAATACAAGATTTGTTAATTTACAAATTAATTTTGTAATCCAATTTATCCAACCAGTTTATTAGTATAATTTATTGTTTCACGATATGAAATATCAATTAGATGAAAAACGACTCTGATCCATTAATTATTTAATTTATGCACGAATGCTAAATTCTATAAAATAAACGAATTAAATTCTATTAAAAATATTGAATCAAGTTTAATAAATATTATTTAATCTTGAAATGCACTGAATAATCTTTTATTCGTAGTAGAGTTAATTCGAATATGTGGATGATTATTTAATTTAAGCCTCTGATGTATATAATAAATCTCTAATTCTCAAATTTTTAATATTCGATAATTAATGTCATTGGTATTAGTTTACTCAAATCATAAGACTTGTAATATTTGAATCTTTTTTTTTTTTGTTCGTTTTTTTTTATGTTTCTTAATGATAGTTGTATTAGAAAATGAGAATAAAAAGAAGAATAAAAAGAAGATTAAAGTGTTAAGCGAAACAACATTTCAATAAGTTTCACACAGTTTATTTTATGCTTATTAAAAGAATATTAATATAGAAATTTCCATGAAATTTAAATACAAATGCAACTTGTTTGAAAAATTTCAGTTAAAAAAAAATTAAAATAAAATAAAAAATAAGTCACCAAAATCCACGTTAATTATCAATATTGCGCTAAGCTAAGAGTACGTGATGGTGCATACTATCTGCATATTAATAGGTGGTAGTGTTGGGTTAGGGATAAACGAAGGGAACAGAGGAAGCTCTAGGAAAAGAAAGATATTTAAATAAATTGAAAATGCTTTTAAGAGTTTTCTTGTATATATTCATCATCGGGCGATACGTCGTAATGTATTTTACATTAATTGACGATTCAATCGAATTTAAGCGCAATAAATTCCGTGAACACAACTCATAACAATCGATAAGGTTAATTGGCTCTAAAATAATACCAGATATTCATAATTCATGCATCGATACATTCAAAGGCCTGCAATTTCTTGGGAGAGTTGTTTGTGATATTCTTCTGCGTCAATATTGTTGATATAATTGTGAAATTATATATATATATGTATGTATGTATGTATCAGATGGTATTTGAAGGAGATATTATATAAAAAGCCTGGCTTGGCAGGGAACACATATTTCAAAGGACAGTACGGAATTAGAATGATGGAACGGTCGGAAGGGATCGATTGTTTGAAACTCACCTTCGGTAGGAATTTGCGTGGATATCGAATCGTGCACATTTGCATTCTCGTGAGTGACAGCCTTGATGTCTTGTACCAAATTGCAATTTGAGTTGTCAATTTGCTTCATGGAGTTAACTGCTAAAAATTTGAATCGAGACGGTTCTTGTTAATAATTGAATACATTTATTCTTTTATGTGTTCTAATATACGATTGGAATATATTAGCCGTATGAATATTCAGTTCAACCGAATTCGATTCGGGAATATAGTGCGCGCCAGCCCTGCGTCTTTAGCTGTCGTCAAAATTCAACCGACTCGTGCAACTCTCAACATTTAACGTCAACATTCATGCGCGCTCTATTACAAAAATTTGAAAATTTAATTAAATTATAAGCATTTTTTTTTTTTAAATTAATTTTATAAATATTTAAGATATATTATGCAAGGCGCACTTCAAACGAACCCCAGCTTAGTTATCTATATTTTAATGAAATATATGAAAACTGGTGTACAAAATACGGAATTTTTATGAAAAGCTTTTCATTTGATAAATTTTACACGTAAAATTAGAATTTAAAAAATTTCTTTCATTGAGAATACTATTTATGAAAAATTTCCTTTGTAAAGTTTAATTTCATTCAATTAAATGAAATATTACAAAGTCTATTTTTATTTGAAAATATTTTCAAATTTAAATATAAGCATTTATGAAAAATTTAAAGTCTCCTTAAATTGAAACGTCAAGGAATAAATATGAATATTTGCTTATCTTGGATTTTGGACTTTAAATATTTCAGTAGCATCATTCCACGATGAAAATCAAATTGGTAATATAAGAGACTAGATAAACTCGGCCCTTCCTCATATAATCATTTTATCGAATGATTAATAAAAATAAAAAGATGATAAAAATAATCAAAAAAAAAAAAAAAAAAAAAAAAAAAAAAAAAAAAAAGAAGAACAAAAAAGCGCATAAAATAATATAAAATAAAATTTCCACGACAAGATGACAAAACTCCGATATTCGTTAATAATAAAATATGAAATTTAACGTTCAAAGACCTTTCTTTTTAACATTTAATGCTACCGGTGTCTCGTTACATATATATATATATATATATATATACACGTACGTACACGCGTACCTACGTACAGAGCCCACATACATTTATGTATATATAAATTATAAAACCAAACGTTGTCTGTAACCAATGAAACGGAACTCCCGATGAATCAGCAATCGATATTTTTATCATCCTGCGGCCGAGGGAAGAATCCGCACGAGACTCAACATTGAGAATTTTATGTCTTCGTCGTGTATATTTACAGAATAAGCGAACATGAAGCCTGACTAACGATTTTGACAAAAGCCAACGCAAATACGCGTCAAATATAAATGCGAGAATGGGGGGAAGGAGAAAAAAAGTAAGTAAAAGAGCCGGTCGACGAAAGAATGGACAGGTGTCCCTCCCTCACGTAACCGCGGCCACGGACACGGTGGTCACTATTTTCACTTCTTTTATTCTTTTTTTTTTTTTTTTTTTTTTTTTTTTTTTATCGACTCGGGGGTTCAATTTTTCATCGTTTCTCTTCTTTGGAAAATGAAGCTAAACAAATTGCCGGGCATCGCTCTGCCGTCTTATTTTTCCAAAAACTATTTCCAATCTTCTTCCTTATGCCTAGCCGAACGAGATAAAACTCTCTCTTTTATGGTTACCTATTGTTTATCCCCCGATAATGCCGTCCATCTCCCACGAACCCTCCATTTTTTTCAAACCGTACACGCCCGAGCAAAAATTTCCAATGCACTTGTTTTCAGCGCAGTACCGAGTCACTCTTACTGTATTCGTTTTAAAGTAAAGAAATGACGAAACAGACACACCAACAGGCCCTTCCCGACCCCTTCCCGGCCACCCGCCACCCAATCGCATTGTTTTATTGCGCGTTTCTCTATTCGGACTCGCGAGGAGCTTTTCGCCGGATACTTTGCAAGAATTGCCGTCGTGTCCACGTCCTATCGCCCTTCTTCCTCAAATTCCATTCAAATCGATGTATCATCGAGTATTATCGTAGGAGATAAAGGCTACTCTCCGCCTCCCATTGTGGGTCGTGCGCGCCGGCGCCTCGCGACTGTCGCCTTTTAACATCGAACCACGTCTAGCACGAAGGAGCTTCTTCTAAAGAAAAAGCAGCGGCAGCCGCGATGCTAGTGTGCGTCATTGTTTGAACTTGTCTGTTTGCTCGTACGTACGTACGTAAGGTGTTGAGTAAAGTGGAATAACGTTGCTTTTATTTATCGATCGCGATCGCTCGTTTTTTTTTCCTCCGCTCCGTCGACTGATAATTCCCAGCGGCGTTGTTAAGTGCATCGACTACTCCACTCCTTCTCTTCTCTCCTTGCCTTGTTTTTTCCACTTAACGCGGAAGCCGTGAATTAGCTCGAGCACGCGCCAGGGCTTCGAACGGGTGTGTACCTTCGTACGGACGCGTCTAGAGGAAATATCGCCGTCACGAGTTTTGCAGAATAAGCTATAAATCGCGAAGGAGTTTAAATTTTCGGATAGGGGAGTAGGAATCGGTCAATGGGAGCGCGCGCGGGATTGTTAAATCTTAATGTTACCGTTACTTTTTACTGCCCACTCGTGTGTGCTTGACTAGCCATTATAAGCCACCGCCTGCCGATATCCACAGGCAATTGTACTCGAGCCACTGATTTCGGACATTAAAAGTAAGTTTTAATCTCAAAAATGGATGCCTCTAGTGCGCGTCTCCTATCATCTCATTAAACTTCCTTTCAATTCCAAAAAGCCAAGGTGGCGGCGCAATAATCCATCCACCTCGTTTTATCGGGGGATGAAAAATGCCCCGTCGGAAAAATGCGGCGCGATCGGTGTAATGTCGAAATAAAAGAGAAGATCGAGCCTTACATAGGATTTCTCATGACGTCCCTCCTATGATAAAATCCTATCAATCTTGGGGCGCCAAATTAGCAGCGTCATAGTGCTCGACGTCGAAAGCCGGGGAAAAATGCTTTTCCTCGGGCGCAATTTCCGTGTTCCGTGTCACGGCGTCCAGCCAAGAGTGTATGCCGGGCGCGTATCACGCCGCGGGAATCAGAAATCGTTCCAATTTCCGTATTATTCTCCTAACGATTGCCGCAAAGCCGCCGCATCCTCGCGCAAAACGGCGGCTTTGCGTCGCGCGTGGCGCGGCATTCGAACGAGCAGCTGCGCAACCAGACGTCGAAAATTTTTCGAACGAAACTGCCGGCCACGAGATGATTGCCTTCGCCATTTTGCAATTAGGCTGGGATGAGGAGGATCAGAGGCTCACAAAGGCTCAGAGAGGCTCACACGAGATGAGTGCCACTAGTACGCGGCTATTACTCGCTGAATCGACGTACATTCGGATTTTATTGATAATTCACCATGACTCGGATATAAACAAATTTTAAAATACTAGTAGTGTGTCAGCGGGACAAATATCGTGTTTGTATGTAAAACTATGTAAACTGCCTGCCGCAGTAATGTAAGGATTGTAAGGATGATGCAAATTAAGAACTACAATTGGAAAAGTTGAATAGCGAGAGCAACAGGTTAACGAAAAAATATCATGTAAATTTACAAATTACGCCGGTACATGAAATATGCTGTTTACATTTGCTTTTAAAATAATGCCCGCGCGCTTTTCTTATTCTAAAGGCTAAAGCAATTCTCCTTTCTTCTTATTAAAATCGATAAAATGACAGGGACCATGAATTATGCACCCGAAGCAAAATCAATAAGCTTTACCAATCTTACATTCCACTTTTAAATTTACTCGCGTATATTTATTATTCAGATTTCATTATCAAGAATTGCATTAGTCAAGTCAAAATTGTTTATGTCGATCAGTTTATTAGTTAGAAATTTAAATATTTTTGACTCTATTAAATTCCGACTCTAATCCCAAGCCCGAATTCATTGACAAAGTAATGCAAATTGATGATCTACGATTTTTTGTGCATTAAGAGAAAGTTGCCGATAATGTGTCGTCGACAGTTGTGCGGATTTTTATCAACAAAAAAAAAAAAAAAAAAAAAAAACTTTTTACAGCAAATACCACTTTATTTCTATTATTAAAGGATTCGCAATTTTATATTTCAAGCTACAAAGTATTTGTGTCGCAACAATTGTTGAATTTATTGCTCCATAACGACCCTTATGACCGATACTATAACACACCATAGATTAAAGAAAGTTAATTTTCATGTAACGAGCCGATCCCCCTATTCAAAATACTTTATCCTCGTACACTTAGTCATTGATCAGAAATTGTATAAATTCACCAGCAATTTCTATTCTTAAATTATGCGATTTCTTTTACATTAGCGTAGACACTAAAAAATCTCATAAATAACCAGCGATACCTCACCGCAATATAATTTTCATAACTTTCAGAAATTACAAACACCGAATGTTTTCGATATTTCTTCTCGCTTAATTTAACGGACGGCCCTTCGCATTTTCGCAACTCCCACTGATAAAATAAAGGCGTTTGTCCGCCCGACCGCCTTAACGCCGTATCGCCGCATAACAAGGAGACACGATCGTCGATATAAACCTTCCATCCCGGTCGAATACCAAAATTCTTCCCAATATCAATTCTGGAAACGTCAGCGTCCCTTATCACTCGGAAAATTCCAATCGGTAGGTCGTTGTTAAGAGCACATTCGTCGTCGCCTCCCCCCCCCCCCCCTCTTCGCTATTCCGCGATCCAGTCACAGGCTCGGCACTACATTCCCAACAGCAGCAGCCCATCTAACTTTACCAGCGAAGTAGGCGAGCATGGCGACGAGGGCCACGGTGATGAATATCAGGGCGATGCTGAAGCACTTCCAGGAGCATCGATGCTGGCAGCGCTTGTCAATGTGGAAGCGCGAGGGCGAGTATGGCGAGTAGTTGGGCACGGCCGCGGCTCTCATGGGGAATCCTGGCATGACGAGGGACTGACCCTGGCCGACCCCAGCGTTGGTTCCGCCGTTACCGGCAACGCCCCCGCCAACACCCATCCCCGGGCCCAGGGTTCCGACTGCCACCTGCTGCTGCTGCTGTGGCGGTAACCTGGAACACGAGAGATAAAGTGCTCGATCAGTCAATCGGATCTAACATGGCAAGCTATAAGGGGAAGTGGAGCGTCGAGCTCGATGTTCCACGACTAAAGGAATCGGGCCTATTTTTTTTTCCTTTCTGTTTTCAAAAGACGCCGAGACATTGTTGTGTTTATTGTTATTATAATATCTGGTACAATTATTATTGTTGTTGTGTTTGTCGTTGTTATCGTCGTCGTCGTTGTTATTGTTTTAGTTGTCATTAGCATCATCGTTATCATCATCATAATCATCGTCATCGTCGTCATTATTCGTGTTTCCTATGAGGTGCCAGGACATTACGAGATGTAGCGTATATTGTGTTAAATTAACGATGGTCAGCGTTAGAGTTTTGAGACCAAAATTCTAATGAAATTAAAAGGCACGCGTAGCGTCGGACTAATCTGGAATATTTAAACGAGCGTGTACGGCTATGCGAAAATATAAATAATTACATTCGCTCTTCTAACTCCGTTTTGTTGGAGGTAAAATGCATTCATTGCTAAGAAATCCATAATTGATTGGCAGGTTAATACTCGCCACACAAAAATAGTTGTGAATAATATACATTACTTATAGTCTCAAGAAATAGAGATTCCATCTTGGTATTTATTAAGCCAAAGATATAAATAAATAAAAATTGAACTGGCAGACGCTGAAAATGTCTCGCCGCTTTAACGAATTCGTAATAAATATTAATGAATACGTTGTACGATCCGTATCGCTTATTCCATAACATACGATACAAAGATATAGCGATACAGTTTATTTATTGTCATGATCCTCCAACGATCTTTTAAGGTTCTTTTCTCTATCTCTCTTTTTTCTTTCATTTGTCCCCCCCCTCCCATACACCCCCCCTCTCTCTCTCTCTTTTTTTTCTCGTCTCTTCTCGACGTTGAGGCACTATTTAAGCAATATTCTCTGCTTTTGCGTATTTAAAAAATCGGTGAAAATTTCTAGGCGCTTTACAACTTACTTTCAATTTTAATAAAATATGAACGGAAAGCTTAATAATTCCATTACCTTCCTGTACTAAATATTGAAGAAATTATGATTTTGCAAAATGCAATGCACCAAGGGTTAATAATTCTGAGAAAAAAAACTGCCTCATTAACGCGAAAGTGAATGTAATTACCGTGTAATGAAGTTACTTGTTGTGCGAGTAATGTACACAGTGCTTCAATTTCAACCCCTTTTAACAAAGGGTCACGTGCACGGGGCCCTAAAAAAATCTCTGATCACGAGGTGCGTGCGCACGTTATGCTCATCGTAGCATCGAGGGTCTCTAATCATATTTTCATTGTGAGATTAATAACCGGAGACAGGGCGGCACGACATTTCATCCGTGTACGAATGCATGATCCTGTCGCTGTGATGCCGAAGGGCTTTCGTGTCGCTATTTCGTAATCCCGTCGGGAGAGTTTCGCAATTTCTTATGTATCGCGAAAATTCCTGATTTTATCGAAAGGAATTCCCACCCCCTAGCCGCCCTGTCACCCTTCCCGCGCCTTAAATGCAACCCTTATATTTCAGGACATCGTGCACATTCTGCAAAACTTTTACGCAAATTACAATAGAATTATATAAAGTCTTTCGCGACAATTCAAGAAGAATGCATTCATAAATAACTGTGCCCCAGGCCTAAGGCGTAAATTATAAGTCAAAAACTCTTGGTTATTCAAAAAGGAAAACAAAAATAAACCCGTGGGTGAAGAAGCCAGAGTGCGAGAGTGCGAGAGAGAGAGAGAGAGAGAGAGAGAGAGAGAGTGTGAGACAAGTAAAATAATTTCCTTGATTAATAACAGGGCAAATCAGTGAAAGCACAGCGGTGAGTGAGTGAGCGAGCGCTGAAAAAGTCGAGGAAGAGAGAGAGCGAGATCGTTTTAAAAAATGTCCCTGTCAAGCGAGGGAGAAATATATGCGTCCGCCCTAGAAAGTAACTCGACATGTGGGTGCGCGTGACTGTGTGGGAGTGTATGTGTAAACAGGTAGAGGGAGCGAGAGGGAGCGAGAGAGAAAGAGAGAGAAAGAGAGAGAGAGAGAGAGAGAGAGAGAGAGAACGGGATAGTAGGTCGAGCGGCAAACGGAGGTGTTCAGGAGTGTTCGAGTTTGGGAGCCACGAATTGCAATGGCTGGGCGAGAGGACCCGTTGGCCGGATTGGGAGGAAGTGAGAGAAGCGGGAGGAGAGGGCCAAAGTTTTTACGAAGGCGATTCACGTACGTACAGCCACGGTCAAACTCCACTGTATAATAGCTTTATATAATAATGGCGCTTTTACTTTTTACACAAAGTCCGAAAAATGCTTGAAAATTTCTTCCTCCCTCTGGCGGCGGCGGTAAGGGTTTTTTAGCGCCGGCGCGCGACCCCCATGATATAAGCGAATTGTTTTATTGCCCCGTATTTTTACAAGTCCTCGTCAGCGTGGAAACATTTGCCTTTCTTCTTTGCCGGCACCCTTTTTGCGCCCCGTTATCGCGGCTCATTCCGCCTTCAAATGCGGTTTGTACAACGCTGTTAACGCTTATTCGCCCGGTGCACTCTTTTATTTCCCCAAGATTCTTTATTATTATTTTTTTCTCCTCTATTTTCCCCGCTTTTCCTCTCACAGCTGACAGCGACGGAGGTATTAAATTTTCACCCCGATGACCGAAGAATTTTTTCGGATTCGCACGTGCACCGTTCGCTTTTCTCGTTTTTTTTACAGACAAACAATTTGTTAAACAAAGTTGCTTTTTGTGATATATAAAATATTCAAAAAATAATTCCCAGCATTATAAACAATCCTATTAATGTGGTTTCAAAATTATGCGAAAATACCGTTAGAATGCAATGTTGGACGAAATTCTGTTTTTTTTTCTTGTTTTGTTTTTTGTTTTTTGTTTTTTGTTTTGTTTCTTTTTGTTTTTCTTTGCTTTGTTTTTTGAATAATTAAAAGATCTACCGAGGAAAAATGCACACGAAGCAATGCGCAATTAATAAAAACTAATAAAAATTGGATTATTTTGATAAACACGATAACAGACTACATTACCTTCAAAAGAAAAAAAAACAAACAACAAACAAAAAAAACCAAAAAAAAAAAACCAAAAAAACCGAATAAAAAAAAATTAAACAAAATAAAGACAAAAATGTAAATAAAAACGTCTGAAAAGAATGGCAAAAAGCGCTGAAAGCTCGGCAAATTGTAAAAAACAGCCTGTTTGACATTTTGAAGTAAATTTTCCTTCACGTGGAGTAACAACTTAATTTATCGCGATAACTCAATTACTTCACTCTAAATACCAAGATAACCTCGTTTCTTTTGGAACAATTTACCTGCACAAAATAATTCGTCAAACTTTCGCCTGGAAAATTTTACGTACACTAATTATCAAAGTATAACTAATCATTAAAGTTCGCGTGAAAAAGATGTGACAAATATTCAGAGTCAAATTGCACGGATTTAATAAAGGCTCGTGACATTTATTCAGCGTGAACGACTTATTCGTTCGCGCGGGATTCGCATTTTCTCGCGCGGGCCACCTATCGCTCCTTGCCCGGCCGAAGAGAGAGAGAGAGAGAGAGAGAGAGAGAGAGAGAGAGAGATTTTTTAAATTCATACGTAAAGTGAGAACACCTCTCGGCCTCCCGTGCACATTCGCCGAATAAATAGCGGCCGCGAAAGTAAAACAAGAAAAATCCTTCGAACGTGACGAACGTGCCGAATTAGGTAAAGATTTGAAGGGGGCCTGGTTAAGCTCGCCTTGCCTTGTAATTAAAACAATACACAAGAGAAAAGGAAAGGCAATGTAGAGGACTGGAGGGAAAAGACAATGGCGCGCTTTCTCGATCGTCAAGCCCGCGCTAACAGGCAGGCATAGCCTCAGATTTCGCGACGGGAAATTCGATCTGCACGTTAAGGAAAATTTGCGAATCACGTTACCAAATTAGACGGGAATCCGCAAAAGCGGGGCGTGGCCGGCAAATATTCCGACGGGCGAAAAGTACTTTTTCATTAAGGGCCTGTATCCGAGCTCCCGAGTTGGCGATATAAAAAGGACCGCGGCGCGCCCCTCATCCTCGCTCGTGGAAGTTGTTGTTCGGGGCGCGGGGCACTTATCCGAGGACTTGGCGAGTTCGGTCACGTCGATGATGCGACTGCGGCCTATCGGGGATGAAGAAACGACGGGGCGCGAGTGCCGCGGCTCCTAACGTTATTACACCGGGCGCGGAGGAGCGGAGCGAGGGCTGGGCGCCGTAAGACGTGGGACGTGGGTGGACCGGGGAGGTGGGGAACTCCCGGTCGAAGTTTCGGCGAGCGAGATATAATGTACATGCGGGGTGGTGGGGCGGGATGGGGGAGGGGGGAGGGGGGGAGGCGGCATTGTGGCCGTGTTCGCTCGATCGCGCAAACTTCGGGCGCTCCTCGATCACTCGGCCACCCCCTAAGGGTGGGTGGCTTGTTGCGGAGGACCACCACCTCTGTCGCATCCCATATAAGAACGTCGATGAAGGCGAGAGGGCGCGCACTCATCCTTCGGTGGCCACTCCTCCCTTGCAGCGGCTAATGCACACGTCGTCTCCGAGCGTAGTCGTGAGAATATTACGCCACGTGTGCCGGTAATAAGATTGCGCACGTGACGACAATACAAAAATCCGCTGAAGCCAAATTGCGCTCGCCTATCGGGACACGCCATCCCCTTATCGCAAAGCCGGGCGACGCCTCCGCCTTTTCGCGGTGGCCGTTAACGCGCGATGACGCTCTTTGCATGTGTCCGTCGCGTTCTTAAGTGTCCCATTAAGTTTGCCGGGAAATCGAGATTTTCGTGCCGGAGACCGCATTTCCCGTACAGCCCAGCCCCCGTATTAAGCGAATCGGCCGTACGTGTAGTCGTGCGGCTATTTGCCTTTTCCAACCTTTTTCCTCGAGACGGCGACCCTACGCGTTAATGCACCGGCAAGTCCCACTAAGAGCGTGCAAATGTTTTAAA